GAACGGGATCAAGGGATTGGTTCTAACTCTCTCTGTTCTAATCTGTCTATTCAACTTCCTCTCTCTATTTGAATCCTCTCTGGCGGTAAGGGCACTCTTCATCATCGTTAGCCAAGCAAGCCACTAGACTTTCTATCGTTACCCTCAAATGGTTCTGTAAAGTAAGGCTGGCCTGCCGGTGGAATCCGTCGCCCGTCTCCACAACCGTATCTCCATGCTCCACCTGCTTTCCCCTTCAGCTCTTCTGATCCTGTATTCCGTCCGGTAGCCTAGCCACCAGTTTCGACCAAGCTAACATCTAGGAAGTGGATCTCAGATTAGACCGGATCTAATCGCCCTAGTGAGTCTCGCTATCGCCGCCGTAGCCGCATCAGATCCAACGCCGTCCACCTTCCACCGCTGCTTTTTCTCCAACATTTCCCCTATTGCGTCCATTCCCGAAACGATAATCAACGGTAGCTTGTCATCCCTTTCGATCGGGACAACATTTGGGCATCCCCAGGTATTCTAACACTGTCTTATCAAACTCTCCTGAAAAGGTTCTCGTCTTCTTACAATCACCTAGATCCCAATTTGGAATAGCCAGCGTCATGCGGCATTAAGGCCTTCTGGCCTAGAACTGTTTTAATACAGTCCAGATCTTATCCTGTCCACTTAGTTTCGAAATTGACCATTGTGTCTTCGGAATGTTAAGGTTGTCCAAAGGATTGAATATCAACATGCTATTCTGTTCTGTCTAAATAAATTGGTATCGGAAGTTACTGGAGCTGCTATCCTAGACTTTCCTTGATATTATGCTCCATCTTGTTAGAAACCGAACAGAAAAATTAGGGATACCGATCTGGCTGAGTCGCGGACTAGGTCGCTCTCTTTAAGACGTTCGCGGCACTGCCTTCGTTGCGCACGGCAGACTGTCAGTCGGTCGCCTCCAGGATAAAACATTCATTCTTATTTTGTTGCTCATCGGTTTTGTGCGAAAACCGGAGCTCTATGAACTCACTCTCTATCTCGTGTTTCTGCTCTCTGAGGTGTATTTAGAGGGTCTGGGGCGTCTCCTATTTATAGGAGCAGAAAACCCAGAATATTCCCTCTTTCTTTGGGAATAAGTCATATTTTAATTAGGGAGATAATTACTCCCACAATTAAAATATAATCTATTAAGATAATTATTCCTAATTATCTCCATAATATTCCTTTTATTAATTATCCATCTATTTTCGTATCTAGAAAGAATACGGGATAATTAATTCAATATAGCTTTCAAAGCTATTCATTCCCAACAATCCCCCACTTGAATAGTTTTGAAACTATCTCTGAGCATCAACAGTTCCATAAGATCGGGCATAAACTAAGGTATCGCGAAGATTTGAACCTTAGCGTAGTGGTTACACTTCCGATTTCATAAGGGTGACTCGTAGTCTTGAACCCTATCTCAGACAATGTAGCACGCCGGATCTTTTCATTGAGTGATATTCTCTCATAGGCCGTGCGTTTATGGCCATGCACGGTATCCCGCTTTAGTGAACGCTCTAGCAACTTTGTGCCTCCAAAGTTCCATAGGGAGCGGCCTCACTCCCATATTCACATAGGTGAGTCTATCAGGAGTACCCCCAAAGTAAAGTACTCCACTCCACATAGAGTATAGATCTCATTAAGAGTTGAACTCATCCTCCAAGGCTTTGGGATTCATGCTTCACTATGCATGAACTTTTCTCAATATTACTCATGACTTGTTATTACCCATTGAGCCCGTTTCTTGGGATCTCCAGTCTATCGGGTCGGGTTACCATCACTTGTAATCCGTGGTTCGGTAGGCATAAGTCTCATACCCTTGGCGATATTTTGGACTTTCTCTCTAGATAATCCTTTCGTCAAAGGATCAGCTAGATTCTGTTAGGACCTTACAAGATCCACCCTCATTGCTCCTATCGTTAGGAGTTCTCTTACAGTACTGTGCTTACGACGAATTTGTCGTCTCTTTTCGTTCTAGAACCGGTTCCCTTCTTTAGTAATAGCTGCGGTGCTATCACAATGAATCAACTACTGGAGGGATCGGTCTTTCCCATAAGGGAATCTCTAGTAGTGACCCTCTCAATCAACTTTCCTCTTTACTAGCCATTGCTAGTTCTATCATTTCCTGATTTCTTAGTTGATTGAGCCAGGATCGTTTACTTCTTAGACTTCCAAGACATAGCTTCTCTATCGATGTTTTAAAACACATCCTCTTGTTGTCTTGGAGTCCTCTATAGGGTATTCTAATCCGCATCACTATACCCTACCAATACAGCAAAACCTTTGATCACAAATACCAAGTTTTTTTTCCTGTTCTTTTAAGGTGTCTCATGACCCTTTTCAATAGCATTTCAATGCTTCATACTAGGACAATCAGTAAGCCTGCCAAGTACCCCCACTATGTCGGGTCTCATGTTTATCAGCTGCCTCTCGCAGACTGTCGATGCTAGTATGTTCTTACTTTCTTACACCGTCTTTGGTGCTCTTTAAATATTTATACGAGCATCATCAAACATTTATGCAGGTGTACATCTTGTATATTCCTAGTTATTAGGATCTCTAAGCATAACATTTGTTTCATTCAGATCCTTCACATTCAAAATTCTCAACCATCATGGTTTTTCAATATTGACATCACGAGTCTTTGTACCAAAGATCGACGTGTCATTCATAATGCAAGTGTCACTCTAATGCACTTGTCACTTTCACTTTTAAAACCATGAGAGAGAACCAGTTTATTCATGCCATCGTCTTAGAGTCTATTTCAAATCTTACAATGATTTGTCTAACTATAGACTCCTTAAGCATGTTCAGGAATAACAACCCTATAGGTTGTCTCATGTAGATTTTCCTATCTAAATCACCATTCACAGAAACATGTTTAACAATCCATCTGACGCACAACATTAGCAATCAGAACATACCTGGATGTTATTCTACATATGGTGAATAGATAACAAGAAAATTTACAATTTTTCCTTTTCGCTTAAAGCCTTAGCTATTAGGCGATCCTTATACTCATAAACTAAACCAATAGGTTTCACTTTTCTTTTAAGAATCCATTTATTACCCATGACTTCATTGCCAAGAGGTAATTCTCAAATGCCAAATCTTGTTCGATTCTATCGATATATTACCCAAGGCTTTTCAACCAAGAGGTAACTCTACAAGATTTTGAGTCTTATTAGACTCCAATAATTCCATTTCGTTAATAATGGATTCTTCCACAATTCTGCATCTTTATGGAAGTTCGAACTTCTAGCAGAATTGTAGGATCTTTCTTTCTTATGGTGTAAATAACAAATTCATAACCAAAATCCTTTCGTGATTTATGGTTCATTTGTCTCTTCTGAGTTCATACTCAGATTCATCACCCCCACTAGTTATCCATTATTTCTAATAGTAGGCAGGATATCACCCCACTATTTCTTAATATAAATGGAATCAATTGACATCAATGGCTTTCACAAACTAATGAGTATTTCGTTTCATAGGCTTATGTGTTTTATAATAACTTACACACTCATATGCTCTTCTAGTTATCATGCTACACTGATTTTCTAACGCTACCACATGCATCCACATATCGAATAATCAGTGCAATCATAATGCAATTAGGCATTTCAAACCATTTCAAATAACTAGTCAGACAATCAGAGCACTCTAAAGAGCAATAAATTGTTTATTGTCTTTTCCATCAAGTTTACCCACATAAATCAGATCTATTTATTCTGATTCGCTAATCACATATTATGGGTCATTTAGCTTGGATATAGAAAATTCATATTTTCTCAAGCATCTAATAATATGGGAATGCGATATAAGATATGCTACTTCTTCACACAGACACACTTGGAAGAATTTATCTTATCTACTTAGCAATTCCTTACATCTAGGATAGTCAATGACTTTCTAGAGGCAGGATTCTCTTCCACTTTTCCAGAACCATCAACAATAGTGGTGAGGGTCTTGCCCAACAACACTTCCTCCTTCAATATGCCTCAATGCATGATTGAGCTTAGCTAATTTATCATATGCATGCCTTGAGGCGTCAATATCCAACCACCATTTTTTTCAGAATTGCCATTAAGGCCTATCACCCCATTAGTGATTATTACCACCAAATCCTCTTATTTAGTCAAGTTAACACTAGGTTAAACTTGTTCTTACACTTTCGTGTCTTATGACCTAGTTTCTCACAAATTTAACAGAGAAACATAGCGTCATTCTTAGAGGATTGGGTGGCGATCTTATGGTTACCACAAAGGGTACCATTCTATTTGGTGTGGATCTGGTTCAGCTTGCTGCTCTCATTCTTGAAACTTTAATGTTTCATAGCAGCCTAAGTGGTTCGTATAGTACTAATAATAGTACTTCTTACAATATCGTTATTATGGGCAATAAACCCATTCTATTCCCATATATTCTTCATATATATGCATCATTCTATTCCACAACATGTATTCTATTTATACTCTAATCATCGAGGTAATACTTCTCAATGTCGACATAAACATGCATAAATTCTCGTTTCTCTAGCATTCTCAAGATTTCTCAATTTCCTGCATATCGATATATGGAATAGATTCTACTTTATCATTTATTAATGATTCACGAGGGAGGTTTCAATTCTTACCTTTCTTTCAAGAAATCATTGCTTCTCTTTGAGTTTCACTCTTTCGCTAATGAATTCTCCTTTGGCAATGTTGTCCATTCCAGTTTTTCACACTTAGCGCAGCGACAACGATCTGGCTTTAGCTTCTTTGGACTTACTAGGCGGCTTGCTGCCAAGCCCAAAGTCCTAATCAATCTCTACCATCCTTCTTCTTCTTCCGTTCTTCGTCCCAAGAGAAGCAGCAAGCAACCCAATTTTGCTGTCTCTGCTTCCTCCACTTCCTTTACATTCTCAATCTCCAACCTTTATTTGGTCTAATCCTCTCTGACTGCTTGAACCTCAGATGCTAACAAATGGAACTTTGAGTCCCGTCTCAATTGTCAGCCGGACTCGCAGAGAACAAGACCCACAAGGTATAACAACCAACGATGCCGCTGGCTTCGAAGCATCTTCTTGGCCGTCCTCGAATCACACATAATCTCGATCCCAGTTTGTATCCCATCCTCTCCAAATCCGAAGAATCCACCGAGAAACAATCCTCACACCGGCAATTATAACAAAGCTCCAACACCACGCCGCCGCCGCCTCTTTCCTCAATCACCGTAACCCCCACATCATTCAAATCGATGTCTCCCGAAACGCTGGCGTCCTGCCGCCGTCTCGACGCCAGGAGCTCATTGTCGTACGCCGCTCGCGACCGGGAGTCACTCAGGATCTCCCATGCTCTCTGGTCTCTGAGGAATTTCCGGTCGGCGGTGGCAGAGTAATCCGTGGTGTTCTGCTGCGATTTGTCGGGGTGGGAGCTGAGGATTGCAGATCGGTAGCCGTAGCGTAATTCGTCGTAGGTGGCGCCTTCTTTTATGGAGAGGATCTCGTAGTGGGTTCCGGACTGGGCTGAGCTCTCGCAGCGTATCATCGCCATTCGACAGAAACCCAATATCCGATTCGATTGAAAACAAGGAAATCAACAAGATTCCCGACAAATTCTCGGATTTTCCTTTCTCGCAGTTGGCCGGAGCGAAAGAAATCAGGCGATGGCTGTGTCCTCTTCTCCGTCCGCAACGGCGTCAACGAACTCGGCAAAGCATTGGGCGACGAAAATTGCTTGAGCCATAATCGGTATCCTGTTCGGTACATATGACAGCAACCAAGCGTCTTAAAATTGTTAGAAACCGAACAGAAAAATTAGGGTTACCGATCTGGCTGAGTCGCGGACTAGGTCGCTCTCTTTAAGACGTTCGCGGCACTGCCTTCGTTGCGCACGGCAGACTGTCAGCCGGTCGCCTCCAGGATAAAACAGTCATTCTTATTTTGTTGCTCATCGGTTTTGTGCGAAAACCGGAGCTCTATGAACTCACTCTCTATCTCGTGTTTCTGCTCTCTGAGGTGTATTTAGAGGGTCTGGGGCGTCTCCTATTTATAGGAGCAGAAAACCCAGAATATTCCCTCTTTCTTTGGGAATAAGTCATATTTTAATTAGGGAGATAATTACTCCCACAATTAAAATATAATCTATTAAGATAATTATTCCTAATTATCTCCATAATATTCCTTTTATTAATTATCCATCTATTTTTCGTATCTAAAAAGAATACGGGATAATTAATTCAATATAGCTTTCAAAGCTATTCATTCCCAACACATCTCTTTCTCTAAGTGGAGCTTATTCTACTCTAATGTATAATCAAATCCATAATCTGAGATTGAGAATTGCTGCATTTGGGTTACTTGCTTATTGATACTACTCCCAACAGTTCCGCCGTCGCCGATTACTCTTCTCCCCGTCGCGTGCTTAGCACCGATTAACTAATTAATTAAATTACTAGTGGAATGGGTTTCATTTAATACGACGAGTTATTATGGGGATGGGTAGCAATAACTTTCAATCATTCATAACTCTATCTTTCTATCTTATAAGAACATAAACCCATGCTCTACTCAGGATAAAGCTATTGTATTTGAATATAGGTATGGGAGGGGAAGGAATTGCCATCCTTGCAATCATGTTTGTTGATGTGACTGTTTAAATTGGAATTTCTTAAATGGCGGAGATTTGTACTGGTTGCTTAGCCTATTATGTTTATTCCTTGATGCAGGTTCTAATTCTTATCTTTTTTCATCGTTATTGCTTGGTGGAAATAATTATTACATTTCTAAAGCTTCATTAATTTAACAAGGTTAATTAACAACTATTCTTTTTTAGTTAATTAAATACAACAACGTAATGCTTATCCTTGTTGTCTGCAACTTAAGTTGTTGGGAGAGGTTCAATCGTGGATCTTATACCACTCTCTAACAGCACGATGCACCTTGTTGTCTGCAACTTAATCATCCTTCTCCACTGATGCACTCTGCTCCACACTCAATTGCTAGGATCGGTTATTTCTCGAGGATGATCAATGATTCTCCATTTCAACTTTTTTTTATTGATAAGAGCTTCAACGGATTCTTCCAAAAGGAAGATCCAGAACCGTGAACCATGATGAATCCAGGTGTGAAAAACTTTCTCAAGTGACAGTGAAGTCCGATCAAACGTAGTAACCCCGTTGTTTGTTATTAAATAGCAATCTACGGAGAGCTATGGATGAAGAAGTAAATTGTTAAATAAGCAAATGTAGTTAGATATTTTTTTTTTGGATACAATAAAATCTCTCTATGAAGAGAACTATGACAATCTCCTTGGAGAAGACAGAAACATCAAACATACACTATTTGTGCTTCACTTCCACAAGTACAGAAGCCTACTTATACTTGCCAACCATCTGCTGCACACAACCAAAAACACTCATATACTGGCATTACAAACATCGACCGGGTTCACCACCATAAATGATAAGGAAAATGACCGAACCAGAAATCTACAGGAATCTGTCGAAAAGACCAGATTGATGACCTATACTAATATGTACATGAGCTGTCCTGTTGGGTGAAGAGATCCAAGTTTGCCCCAGATTTGCACCGATGCATTGGCAACAGGTGGAGCATTAATCATCGTTCCAAGACGAAAGGCAGTAGTTAAGTAAAGGTGCTGAAAGACGGATACAACTTGTGAGCTAAATGATGTACTGTAGTTTCCTGTTCAAAACTTCCTCTTTTCTTAGGAGCAGGGTATTTGTTTTGGCAAGTCTAGAATGACTTTTGATGGCTGAAACTTGGTATTGAACTTCTAATTCTCTTGACAGATACCTATACTTTCAGCCGATAACAATAGGTGTGTATTGCTTTGGAACTTCACATTTCCGAGGAAGAACATCATACCTCATCAGTGTATAGAAGCTGGATCTTCGGTTGCCAAACAAAACATACAGAAGTGCAAGGAACTTGCCATCAAATCAATATAGTAACTGATGAACAATCAGCTTGCACCATTGTCAAGGAAATATCTCGACCAAACCTGCCCAAGAAAAAAAAATCTTAGCACAGAAAATACCTCAAAGAAGAATATTCAGAGCCTTGAGCGAAGCAATCCACTAAATGTTGGTGACGATGAAAATGAAGGAGATGTACCATTCAGGTGGATAGGGGAACCTTATTATAGATAGAGTTCCTGTGATTCCATAGGAGATGACCAGTACTGGAACAATGTGTCTATGGTCATTCTTCGAGTTGCACCCAGCATTGAAATGAAGAATCTGCAACCATCAATTTTGTATTCTTCAAGTGGATTTCTGTGACCGAAGCTTCTCACATTGACCTGCAAAAGGTGCAAGGCAAATTTAGGCTATCGTACTGGGGGGAAAAAAAGATAATTGAGACCTTGAATAATAGACAGTACCGCTGAACTGAGTCTGTTCATATTAATAAGATGATCTCTCCAGAAACAGTCCACAGTCTTCAGGAGAACTGCTCTCTGTACTCATCAATTAAATGATAGGAAGAGGACAGAAGTTAGTAAACAAAAATTATGACCAACACCCAGATAATACTACAGTATCAGTGTATCTAGCAATTCCTAAATGTTTCATGTCCCAGAGCCCCACTGGAAAATCGTCAACAGTGTCATGTTCCACTTTTATATACTTAAAGACTCGAGTGATCTTCCGTTGTTAATCTCTGAAAGAACTAAACCAACATCAATCTACTTGAATATTTTTCTTTTTCGTTGAATAATCTACTTGAATATTCAATGTCGCATGATGACAGCAACTACATGGGTCCCAACTTTGATTCACTCGTCAAAACATTACATTACCTCGATTTCTCTGATATATGTATCATCGTATCCTGATTCTTCTATGACACTGCAATATGAAGCAATAAGAAAGTCTCCAAGGTACTTCCGGAGAAGATTGGTTGTTGTCCTGTATCTCCCATTCCTGAGTCAAGAATTTGAACTAAGCATAGGGACTCAAAATGAATAAATAATTAATAATGTTGATGATGCAAAACAAAGACAGATGTAAGTGATTAGTCATCACCGTTTACTCACTTATATGAATCATCAGAACAAATACAAAGCCAACGCTTTAATGACGAACACTTCTTTCGGATCCCTCTGAATGAATTTGGTGGCTTTGGCATGTTTGGAAGGCAAAAACTATTGATGTCTATAGAACTAGATTCCTCTGGTTTTGTGAGAGATTCCAGCAAAGCTTCTTCAGTGATTCCTGCAAATGCATCTGACATAAATGCACGTGGTGAGTATGTATCCACAAACAAGACTGCACTGATTTTAAACAACCATTAAAAGATAAATTCGACAGAGATCTTGAAAAACCAAAACTAACCATCCAACAAATTTCCTCCGATATTGATATACTCCTTCAAAATCAATCCCAAATTCCAGTTTCGTGGATGCTGTCGACAAGAATCACACAGCTAAGCCGAAGTTTTTTTTTTTTTTGCCATACAGGCGAAGATTGTATTTAATATAAACTAGTAGTAAAAACTCCAAATACCTTCTGGGGATCAGCATTGTGAAATACAATGTCATCCACGATGGCCTGCATATACCTAACAAGCAACCTCAATTTAATAACTATACAGAAGTGCTACGGGCTATACAGTCGCCAACAATAAATGCATATAGCTACTTTACAACTACATACATAAACATACATTACTATGCAGTACCATAAACATACACAAACATACAGTCACTACCAAAAATAATAATAATAATTTCACCAAAAAAAAATTGACTACATGATCCATGTGGATTAGTGAGTTAAACGTAGTTTGGGTTCATAGATCCACAGCAGATCGCCAGATCCCCCAAGTTTTACGTAAAAATTACACATGCCGCAAGAGTGAAGACATGTATTCAAGTGAGAACAAAGAACCACCAAATAATAGAGAAGACAATCAAACACTAAGTTTACACCTTACTTCTCAAGTGCTATATTCCATATCATCTTCCCGCCAAGACATATTCATAGGATCAATGAATTAATTTGGGAACACACAGCACTCATAATTTTCTTGTAACTTCTGGTCACCTTTTAAGGTATTGGTGTTGTCATATCAACTAAACCTAGACAATCATTATAACGCTTGAAAGAGCAACAGGTCAGCTAAATATCCTTGCATTTCAATTGAAATATAAAAGTATCGCAGTACCAACATGTTATGTGAGAAAAGTGTCAAAGATAATGACCATAAACGAATTTTGAAAATTTTAGAGGATGTTGAAACTAGGTAGGCTAGCTATTTAATAACTGATTAGAAATTTTGCAGATTGCTGAACTAGTAAAACATCATATTTCAAGTATCATTTGCGATAGAATAAAGTAACATGCTACAAGAGAGACTCACTGGAATATGTGTTGACTACAACTTTCACTATCACCTGTTAAAATCACTTGGCGAAGGTCATAGACATGTTTCCTTTGTACCTGATAACAAAATCACAACAGAGGAAAGGACATCTAGTTTAACCCATGGAGTTTCAAATATTATACTCGATTACTTACAATCCATTAACATTTAGAACGAAAAAAAACTATTTCACGCACTTCAATAGCAAGTAGTAAGTACAGCACATGATCCACAGAATTTACTACTGATCCAAGGCTTGGAGAAGGGATACAGAAAGAGGAGAGGGAAGGAGGAAGTAAGAGTCAAAGATATACTCCCCAACTGACTAACTCAGGTTTCTCTGCCTCGAACGAGACTTTATCCCCCATCAAAAGAATTCACTAGAGGCTGTAGTACAAGCTTTATCTGAAAGTCTTCAATGATATTGGAAAATAACAACAGTTTTCTATGAAAGGACCACTGCAATCCATACTAAATCCACAAGATCAAAACAAAAAATAGGAACAAAAATTCAATCCAACAGTCTTTGACATGGAAATGACATCATGATAAAATGTTCATATCTAGTGATGTAAAATTTTGGACTTGGTTAAACAATAGCCAAATCTCAAAAGGGATACTCGTGCTGCTAGATGTTGTTTCCGGCCCATGTTATAGATCCATTTCAGACTATATAGTGAATAGAAAGGTAAGAAAACTTAAGTGAATGAAATAGTATGACCAAACGATAGGTATATTAAGATAAGAAGATTAAGCTTAACAGTCTCCTGACTGAAACACAGATAAGGCAAATTGTCATTTTAGAAGATGAGAAGGTTTTCTAAGACAAGTCATGGTAAATGGTAACCTTACTGCAATGAACTTGTCAGGTGACCGATAATAATTGTTTAAATTAGGAGTGTAGTCTACATAAGATGATCTGACTGCTTACAAGGCATGCCAGAAAAATGTTGTTCTGAAATGTATACCTCTAATACTTCATCAAACTCGACCAGGCTCTTTCTGATGCTAAAGTAGTACTTCTCCACATTGATTTGCAACCCTAAAAGCTGGAAAACCAATTACGCAACTTGATGAAAATATCATGACAATACTAATGGTTTGAACCTGATTCAGGCAAACTTACCTGTCTCACAATAAAATCACCCTCGATCGGTATATCTTCATCATCAGTGATCTTTGAGATGAGGTTCACAGCCCACTCGGTATCAAAATTGAACTTCTGAAACATTTCATCCTGCAAGCTGTTATAAAGCAGAAGAATCAGCTAAAGAACCATTTGGCTTGGCGTGCATAAAAGGAAAATAAGGTAAACAAAATTGCACCAATTCAAATATAATCGATTCCCTAAGTGTTATTTTTTGTTAAGCATCACACCCTATATGCCCCTACACAGCAGAATGATTAGACCAAACTATAAGCAGATAACCAGCGGGAAATTGCAGGCTGAAAAGCTCGTCTCCCCAGACATGTTGCCCAGGCTTTGAGAAATGCATCCTCCATTGTTTTCTCTTCAATTTAATTAGTTCAGTATACATTAAGTTTGTCAAGAACTCATATTCATGTCCAACATAAGAAGCATATGAAATATCGTGTCACAATGTCATTTTATCAGTTCGACCATTCATCTATTGCGCAAAAGTCGTATCCACGTTTTAGACCCCCATAACACAATTAAGTCAATTTCTCATCAAGCATGCAATTGACAATCATGAGGAATTGACGCCTTAATGCTGTAGACATCACAGAGATAGATGGTGAAGGCTTCATCAATTTCCATACATAATCATTTTTCATGTGTCAAGTAAGAATTCATAAAACTGTTGGTAAGGATTCAATAAATTCATGTCGCTTGGCATTCACCAAACACATATACTAATTCTCAATCACATAAAGCAAATCCATTCACTAAAAGAATCATGGAAATACTAGAGTGATCATTTATTACCTCACCATGAATCGTGTAGATCCAGGATCTCCTTGCCTTCCTGCTCGTCCACGAAGCTTTTTTTTTTTTTTTTGCAACAAGAAATTTGAGAAGAGGGTTATGTGTTGAAAAGTTTAACAGAGGATTTATGCAAATAATGTGCACAGGCAATGGACTCACTGATAAGATGTTAGATGATTGTCACATGCATATTTCATACTAAAACTAGTACATGCATATTTAAGCAACTAAAATAAAAACAAATGAACAGCTGTGTTTATACAAACACACGTCATTTCTGGATTAAACACATCAGACAGGGTTACTGCAATAGATAATTGCCATGCTACTATGAGAAACACGTGCATCTTAGATATGCTTAGAGTGTCATAGTAGAGGCTGCACAGTTTTCTTTTTTTTTGGAAACCATAGTAGTGAAACAAAGGGTGAAACTAGAAATGGGCAACTCGCTTGTCTGATAAAGGAACAACAACAAACAAGAAATCTCAGCGCATCTATTAAGCAGTCTCCAATTCCACAATGGCAAGCTGTATCTTGTAAAACTCAGCTAAAGGGTACCTAAAACATTATGAGCAGCATCTCTTTGTATAATCCCTCTAACTCCAGATGTTATTGCAGTTAATAACTAACCTGATTATCAATTCTTCGTGATTCATGCAAAGATGTACCTATCACATGGAGGCCACCAAGCCTTTTCACTTCACAACCCTCATTGAAGCAATGCGCTTCGCAGTCCTTAAGAACTGATAGATAAGCAAGTGCTATAGTTGGTTCGAGGGGATACATCTCAGACTCCTCATCGACAAGCTTTTGTAGCTCTTCCACGCCCAACGACTGACTCATTTCAACAGACTTTGAGATCACTGACTTTGCATCTTCATATGTCAAGCTCTTACCTTCACTTTTACCCACATATTTAGCTGGCCAATTCGCATTCAGAACGAAAGAATATTAACGGATCCCCTAGGGAAATTTCCATGAACAAAGACAGTATAAAAGAGGATATGAGGAAAAAACCCTTAATGTTACCTACCCATCAATGATGTTTTTGCTAATAAAGCTAAAGATGTTGCACCAACACGTATCTTTGATAACACCTGAACCAAAAAGATCGATCAAAATGTGAACTGAATCTGGCAGTTTACATAAGCACAACAGTCACCTTGTCAGATGATCTGATGTCATCGATTTCAGTAGCTGGCCTTTCCTGTGTTAGATAAGAAAGCAAGCTGTCCTCTAAGACTTCTTTTGCAAGCATCTGCATAAGCAAAAGGGAGAAAAAAGAACTTACAAACCACAACAGTATATATCATGCCATGGTAGTCTCACAAAGTTCTGCATGGGAGGGACTGCATATGTTTTGTAGACAGAATATATATGTAAAAGGAGCAGATACCTTGGGATTTCCACCAAGAATAATATCAGTGCCTCTACCTGCCATATTTGTGGAAATAGTAATGGCATGTTTTCGCCCTGCCTGGGCAACAATCTCAGCTTCCCTTGCAGCATACTGAAAGAGAAAAATAATTGAAAAAAGCCACAAGTACATATTATTGAAAGCATTTTCACAAGTAAGCAATCAACAGAAATCCTCCGACAATGAAAGTTTAGAGATGAAAAACCAAACCTTAGGTCGTGCATTCAAGACATTGTGTGGGATCTTCCACTCCTTGAGTAGATCAGAAAGATACTCAGAGTTCTCAACACTGCATAAAAAATGGAGGGACCAGTGCAATTTATATGCTTGGGTATGAAACGTCCGAGATTATGTTTAAATCAGTAGGATTATATTTTCAAGTAGTAATGAAAGAAAACAAAAACTCATATGTAACTTTTGAAAATAATCATTGAAAAAATAAGATAATGCCAATCATTATTTGGCAAGATTAAAAGGAGAAGAACATACTTTTACAGTCATTAGATTAAATCATCTTAATAGGATATTAGAAGCAAGAAGATCATTTCTCCAGTAGAGAAAAATGCATCTCATAGCTCTGAGAAATTACCAAATAGTGAAAGGAAACCTTCATGACTACTCTTTTAGGATCTAATCTACTTAAAGAAATCAAGAAACCGAATGATGTTTGTTTGTATTGCAGGAAAGATCATAAAGTGAAAGAGCAATTGTATGGACACGAATATGGGCGACTATGATCACAAACACAGTTGCTATCCTATTGGATTATGCTTTCACCTTGCCTGTGACCTTGGACAATATCTTCTCAGCAGCAATGCATAATCCATATAGGAACAAGCTAAGCTTGTGCCTCTATTTGTGGTAAGCATTTTGAACTAGCTAAGTTTTGTTGACTCCTTGAAGAGAACATGTTAACTCTAATCAAACCCAAGTATTAAGGCAAAGCAGCTAATATACTGGATTGGTATAGGTAAACACCATTAATGCTTCCTTTTTTTTTCTGCTGATCACTCCTCATGTGAATTCATTAACCACAAATTTACATGTTTTACTTCACGCAATATGTTATTTAGAGGTAACCAAAAATCTAGACTTTCATATACATTCAGAAAAAAGTAATCCCCACATTTACCTAGTTGTTCCAACTAAAACAGGGCGCCCTTGTTCAAACATGTATTCGACTTCTCGACGTGCATGATCCCATTTCCCACGTGCAGTCTAATCCACAAATGTGTAAGCAGAACAATATAATCAGATGGAAGAAAAGCTAAGACAATAAGAGTGAACTCCTCTCACAGCAAGCAAATAGTTACCGGATAACTGAATAGAAAAGGAAAATAGTATCCTAACCAAGGAGACAAAATGTTTTGTTCCTTACTGCAAAAGCTTGTATGGGTAAATCTTTACGAATATTTGGAAGATTTGTTGGCACCACAATCACTGGCACCTGGAACATTTTCAGGAACTCCTTTTCCTGATATTTTCGAAGAAGGGTACACAAAAATTGAGTGAGTACTAAATTACCACATAAAAACATGAGTGATGAACAAGACATTCTTACTTCAGTTTTCGCGGTTCCAGTCATTCCTGACAACTTTGGGTAGAGTTTAAACAGTGATTGGTACGTGATTTGCGCAACCACAATAGTATCAGCCTACAAGAAAATATCTCAATATGACAAATAAAATTTACATGACATGGTGCACAGTAAATATAGCAGAAACAGTACTTCAATATCAACCCAATACCTGTATTTGCAAATCTTCTTTTGCCTCTACAGCCTGGTGAATTCCTTCAGACCATCTCCTCTTCTCCTCCACCCTTCCTGTCAACTGCATAAAATTTTTGAATCTACTTCATCATATATTATATATTGCACTAAACATGAAAGAAATGGTGTACTATGTATGAGCTTTCACAAACGTTGCACTTGTAAGTACTGCATGATGTACGGATGTTATGTACCTCATTAATTATGAGGGCCTTCCCATTTCTAACGATGTATTGTACATCTCGCCTGTAGAACTCTTTAGCTTTCAGAGCATTTAGCACAAATCTGTAATATATATTGAGAGCGAAACATTGCATTAAGCAGCCATGGGCAAACAAGTCAATTCTATGGACAAAAGAATATGAAGTCAAACATCAGAAAAATGTGGGAGGTCATTTCATGAAATCCTGGGAACTGAACAAACAAAGTGTCTTATACTTCCACAAAAACAAATGAAGGACTGCACGTAAAAACTTCAGCTGGAGAAGCTAAAGATGGACCGATTTGGGAGAAGAATCTTCACTAATAAAAAAAATAAAGATTCTTCTGTGTTCTTGACGGGAAAGCAAAACTGCAGTATGCATCAGAACAAGAAAAGAAAATCACCTAGCCCAAGGATCATTTTCATCCCAAAGATCGTTTGTTTCGAGCGCCATCTCAGCTAGAACTATTCCCTCCTCAGTCAACTCCACTGAGTTATCTTTAAGCTCCACATTATAGTGCTGTCACCAGATATTATTTGTTGGCAGCATAGTTTAAGATAGAGCTTCAGGCATGAACAAGTGTGTCGAAATAGCAACTCAAGTAATGAAACCAAATGGACTTACAATTCCCCTTAAGAGCAGCTCAGCTACTTTAGCAGCAACCGGATATCTTGCAGCATCTTTATTCGCCTGCCAAAGAGATGGAGAGAAATGAAAAGTAAAACTACTTATGCATCAATAATATACAATATTATGCACATAGATTTAGCTACATGCATACACACACTATATGCATTAACAGATCCCAAAATCAAGCTTAATACCTCACCACTGATTAACAAAGGATTTCTTCCTTCATCAATGAGAACTGAATCCACTTCATCAACTATCGCAAAATGAAACGGCTTCGGCCTGTTTATGCTTAGTCCAACATTAGCAACCCAATAGTTTCTCGACTTGAGGAAAGAACTAAGTCAAAGAACTGCATGGAACTTACCATCTCATAACAAGTTGTTCATCACTTCCCGCAAGATTATCTCGTAAATAATCAAAACCAAGTTCCTGAAAGAATTTACAATAATCATCATTACAAGGTCTAAGAACACAAGCAAGACTCACCAATCAATTGCAATAAAGCTTTCAACAGGAGGTATGGGGTAATTGGCTTTGTTGACATCCAAATGGAACGGGAAGAAACACTCGCACCTACTAAAAAACATGACAACAAATGAAGATCGACTTACTGAATTATTAGTGTATGTTATATCACATCTGTAATTGGACCTTCGCTCTTTAGATGTCATACCCTTCTGCATGGACCAACAATAACATATCAAGGATCCAGCATATTCCAATTTTTGTAGCGTTTTGCGTTCCGCAACCACATAAAGGCAACAAGGCATGCTACAATTACATCATGCAGTCATCAAAGCTAGAATATAATACCTGAATGAGACCAACAGAAAGACCCAGGAAGCGATGAACACGGCCCATCCACTCAGCATCACGTTGAGCAAGGTAATCATTCACAGTGACCACTGCCAAGGAGAATCAGCAGCATCAGACCAAGCCACAAGGGTTCTAAGTGCATTATAGAATGCTATGTATTTTGTGCAAAGTGTGGTTCAAGATGGATCCATCGCAGCAGCTGGAGAAACTGCATAATCTTAGGTAGAACATTTTAAGCTTGAATCAAGGCTCAGGACAAAAATTTGTGACAAATTGTTTTCAATTTAGAGCCCAAATCCACAGGACAACACCTCAAACCACGACTAGGTGCAGAAAAATACATTTCCATAAACTCCAAGGGGGTGGAGCTAGGGGAAATGAGCAGATGAAGACATCCAATTGTACCTAGGTTCAAAAGTCTGCGCAGCATACATCCATCAGGAAACTATTTTTCATGCAAACGATGTCAAAGTACAAAACAGCCATTTAGAATAGTTGACTGCATAACCTTCAGTGTGAAACTTGTAGGACATAATGCGTAGGGATACCCTAACAGAATTTGTCTATGTAGGTACAAAATGGAGTTTATCCAACCAAATATGCTTAAAGTACAATAAATTCTATCGTTGCGTCAAAGATTCAATTTGGTAAAATACTCACAATGTTTTCAGATTCGGAAGGATTACGAGGATAGAAAATTCGCATTAGACTATTAAAGCATGTCTTAAGGCTTTTCATTATCTGGATGATGGAAAAGAGTATGCAAACAATAATATGCACCATATAGTTGGGCTGTCATGCAGCAGTGTTACCTGAACCATTTCTAGTGGTTATCAATTGAGATTAAGTGAAAGAACAACCAGGAGAGGATACGCATTCCTCAAGCTAGCAACTGAATCAAATTTCCAAAACACTAGCATAGAAGCCAAAGTTGGTGATTCGGGATTAACATGCGTAATGGAAGATCTTTAGTAGATTTCCTAGACTCAATGCTATAGTTTTATTTATTCAGTCAGTTCAGTCAAATAGAACTTGAGATAGATGAATGTTTAATTAACTGATATCCTATCTCGAGAGGGGAAAAAAGCATCCTATTTTCATTTTTGCTTCCATTTTTATCGGTGTTTCCAAGTAATATGTATTCACTAAACAATATGGTGTTCCTTGACCAAGTACCTCACCCCACCAATGCAGTTCCATGAAGACGAAGAAAATCAATAAGTCCAGAAATGTTATGATAGACTCTTACCATGGATACCCTCACCGGTTAGTGCATTCAGATACGCAGCTAATGTCGAAACCAATGTCTTTCCCTCCCCAGTTTTCATCTCAGCAATTGATCCATCATGAAGCACTGCACCACCAATAATCTGGAATCACAGTTTTGAGTAAATTTATGACACATTTAGTAGCAACTGTTCTAAAGCTTAAGCCAAGCACCTCAACAGGCGTCCAATTCTTAAGGGGAAAGAAACGCAGAGCAATACTGCCGAAATAACAAACCAGAAGAGGAAAAGCTACAAACCTGCACGTCAAAATGACGCATACCAAGCTTCCTTCTAGCAGCTTCCCGAACGACAGCAAAGGCCTCTGAGAAAAATAAATCCGTATAAAAGTGCACTGAACACCCTCTAACCTTACCGTTGAAATAAGGAGAGTAGGAGAAATCATTAGAAGCAAACCAGCTTGAATGTCTGCCAGCGTCTCCCCTCGTTTCAGTCTGGTCCTAAACTCCTCAGTTTTTGCAGTCAACTAAAAATGACAAACTCAACAAATCATCCAAATGAACTATTACCAAACGAATCAAACTCCTCGGGATCAAAGTTTCCTGATTTAATACTTCAACTCTTTCCAAAACGAATTAAAACCTTTCACGAACCTGCTCATCGGAAAGCTTCTGAATTCGCGGCTCAAACCCATTAACAGACTCAACTAGGCGATAGTAATCCTTAACAACCCACTGGTTTAAGCTCGTCACATCAGCTACCCTGTCTCTTAATTCACCCAGTTTCTCCTACAGCGAAGTCCAAAAACAAAATTATATTTTTACACATTAACCGCTTCTCTCAAGCATATGATCGAACACATGGCAGGCACAGTGGAAAACGAGACCTTAAGGGAAGCTCTGGCTATGGTCCCGCTGCTTACACGAGGTCGATGAAACAAATGGGTAGATGAACCGAAGGAAGCCGTGGAGAAAGGAGTAATGGAAATGGGACTGGAGTAGAGGAAAGACGACGGGGCCTCACTTGGCGGCTTTGGAGGAAGAAGAAAGGAAGGGTTGAAGAGAGCAGGACTCGCTGCCATTGAGTAATCCGTTTTGCTTTTTCTCTCTTCACTTACTTCACTGGTTTCTCCGCGGAAGCACTGAGCTTCTTCTTTGATGGTCTAACAGTTGACGACACTACCTCGCGCACCAGTGACAGTGAGAGACTAGTATGGATTTCGGTTTGCCCCTGCGTTCCTGGTGCAACAACCAAAGTGAATAAATTAAACTAGCTTTCTTCCCGGCCCTTGGCCGGGGCAACTTTTATTTTTATCATAAATTAATTTAATATTTAAAATATTTTGTTTAATGTAATTATTTTAATTATAAATTTGTGTTTCTAGTATGAAACTCACTTTAAATTCATCAAATTATTTTTCCAATATCAATTTTATCATAAAGTGAAAAGATAAAAAAAATATCATAAAATTTAATACTTATGATAATACTAATATTATAGTAACCTTGTTATTAATATCATCAATTATTTTATAAGAATTGTGATTAATGTAGTAAAATAGAGAAAAGAGATGTTAGAACTAAGGAGCGGCTTATCGTTGGATTCATTCATTTAATCTTGTCAAATATCAATTCGGTTTATTTTGTAATATTTATAATTATAATATTAATAGGATTAAGAATGCGACCACAACCATCCGGTACAATCCGATAATTGTCTGGTGTTGTACGATACAGACCGAACCATTGCACATTCACACACATATAGTCTAGGCTAGCGTACGTTCGGGAGTACGCTAATCTACCGTACGCTTCATTGAGTTTTGCTATTTAGATAATGAATTAATCGGAGTTTGGGACATGATGCTATACCCTAACTTATAATGGTTGACCCCAATCCCTAATTGTCTAACCCAAACCATGAGGTTCGTTTAATCTTAAAATGAAAATCATTGATAATTTCGACGAATCAAATTCGTTGATTTCAAAAGTTTTTATTTTACATGCACTTAAAATATATAACATTTCTGCATTAAAAAATTGATGTATATTTTAGATAAGCAAATACTAATGTAAGAGTATATTAAACATCAGGGTAAAAAAAATTGTTTAAGTAACTATTTTAAAATTTTCAAACGTAAAAAACTAATTAAAAATCCACACATTTCCTAAAAATCTGTATTTGAACGTAGCCAAATAACTAACGAAAAACTTTTCCGTTTTTTATGCCTAATTTAATAAATTTAAACATGAAACCGCAGCAAGAAAACACGGAGAATAAAAAAAAAAAGCAAAAAGAAAACTTAATTCCGAAAATTGCGGGGAGGGCTACGAAGCTTACGTGGATGGGGTCTTTTTCTTAAATTGCTTTAATATATTTTAAGATTAAGATAAAGTGACGAACGAACTGGGGTATATTACAGAAATGGCCACAAAACTTTGTTACGAACAAATCACTCACTGAACTTCGATTTCTGGTGATTAAGGTTATTTAGGTAAAGATTAAGTTATAATTTAACTCACTTGTTTGGAAGTTATGATTTTAAATGAATGATTTGATGTGGCCTTCAAATCTTATATCACCCATCATCACTCATTTCAAATCTCAACAAAAATGTGAGATTCTTCCTTTGAGATTGTGGGCTTTAATTTGTTCCACTTTTAGCTCATAATGTGATTTTTCTTTTCTTTAAAAATTTTAAATTGTTACAAACAAATAAGACATTCTTTCAATCCTCTAATTCTTACAATCTTTATATTTACAATACATATATTCATCAAATACACACATTTGAACAATCTCAACTTCCAAACAACCTCTTAATCTTTATAGAACATATTTTGGTTTTTGGCTTATGTTCTGTTTGAATCACAAAAGAGGAAATAATTGATAGACTACTACTCTCATCCATTTCTACATATAAAAAGAGGAACATATTTTGGTTTTTGTCTTATGTTCTGTAAAAAAGGAGACTAGCTTTGAGCACGGCTAGTTGGTTCGAATTAAAAAAATTGATTAGATAAATTGGGTTTTCTACAATTATAATTTTTAACATGTATTGATAGAATTACGAATTATGTCGGTACAAAATGGAACGTTATTCATATATAATTTAGCAAGTTAGAGGAATAGAAACGTGCCTCGTGATTTATGGTTGGTGGTACATTAGTCAGCCGTGTATGATGATATACAACCGAATCATACTGGTACCTATGAATAAGTGAACATCATGTCTTTGTTTCATTTTTTAACATTATATGAAAATGGATATCATTGTGTAGATCATATAAAATCAAACTTTTTTGACGCAAAAATATCTAAATTCAGAGTTGAAGCGAACAAAATATAGGTTAATTAATGAAAAAGGAGTTTAGAGAAGTATGCTAGGTGGTACATTTCAATTGGTTGCCTAGAAAGAAATAGTAAAAGAAAAGAAAAAATGAGTTAAAGAAAAAATTTAATTGGTGGCAATAAGTGTTGATGTGGATAGGGTTGGGCATGTGGGCAGTTCACCCGCGGGTTTGGGCCGATCCGCCCGCATTTTACCCAAATTTCGTTAGGTGGGTGAGTCTGTGGGTGTGTGACGGGTTGTCTCGGAGGCATCCGTCGGGTGGCGAGTGGGTTGTGGGCGAATTCGCGAATGCACGGGTGACCCGCTCAACCCAATAACAAAAAGAACAAAGTCATTGGTGCTGGAGAGTGGAGACGCTGACGGAAACTAGGGCTACTCCTGTAGATTGAATGTCAAAGCTAATCTTCCAAATCTCGACTTCCATCTTCTTCCCTTTATTTTCCTCTCTAATTCTTGTGCCCAAATCACCTCTATTTCCTCCATTCAATTATTTTTCTTACTTTCCTGCACCCGATATTCATCTCCATTCGTAGAAAACTCCTCCATAATAGAATGTGTTTGTACCATCTAGCTCCACTATGAACAATGATATTTGTTGGTGTGGGGTTGACTCACGATCCATTTGTTTGATCTCGTCGGGAGGGAAGAAACTAGTGAAAGAGCCGGGGATGCCCACCGGATTAAGCTCCGACGATCAAGTTAGTTTCAGTTTCAGGAGAGAGTTGAAAGAATAGATAGAGAGATAAAGTGTAGAGAGATAGTGAAAAGTGGAAAGTGAGGAGAGAGAGGAAGTCCCCTTCAATGGAGAGTTTCATGCCTTTATATACTCGTAGTGGCGTTCGAGCGGAGCACGTAACCGATTGAGCGCGCCCTTATTTAGTCCACGCGTGGAGTATTTAGTAACACCCCCAACAATTGCCCCCCAAGATGGTGGTGAGTTTGGCTGACGCGGTGCCAGCTTCCTGCGTCATGCCCCCCAGTTGGTGTATTTCATTAAGCCATTGAGCGCTCTTCTATTGGAATCTCCAAGGCGCTGAGCAATTGCTTGTTGAAAATTTCCCAAGGTATTGAGCACTCTCCTATTGGAGTTCTTCACACACACACACACACACACAAGTGTGTACTCTTTCATTGGTGCGCTTGTGATAGCCGCACGATTACGTTACGGGGTTACCGCGCACGTTTAGTGCCCTTTATTGGAGATAGAGGTAGTTGAACACTCTCATATTGTAGATTTACCAATGCTCTATCGAAGTCTTATTTGTGTGCTTCAGTCGAGACTTATTTGTAGATTCACCAATGCTCTTATTGAAGTCTTATTTGTGTGCTTCGTTGAGACTTATTTGTAGATTCACCGATGCTCTTATTGAAGTCTTATTTGTGTGCTTCGTTGAGACTTATTTGTAGATTCACCGATGCTTTTATTGAAGTCTTATTTGTGTGCTTCGTTGAGACTTATTTGTAGCTTTTTCATGGAGGTAGTCGAGCGCTCCCATATGTCGCTTGATTGAGTTTCTCATCTCCCATGTTGTTTGGTACGTCTTGCCCCCCATTAGCGTCATTAACGCTCATGAAAGTAAAAAAATTTAAAAATTTAATAATGATAGAGTACTTAGCTTTATGTTGGCGAATCGGCGCTTTAAATTGACAGCGCTGTGCCTATGAAGCACAAGTCAGATTAGTAGTTCGCTGGTCAACTTGCTGGTCTTATTGAATGGTGGCGTGGGTTCGATTTGCGGCCTATGTTCCGCGGGCCTGTTGTCGATCCGTGAGTTGGGTCCGTTGGACCGCGAGATGGGATGGGGTGGAAGACATGGGTTGAAACCGGCTTTATGTCGCAGAAGTTGGTCGTGGGCTTGGATTGGGTGTGTTGGGCCGCGTACTAGTGAGGCGGGCTGGGCTAATCCGTCGTGCCGGGTTCGGATGAGGTAAGGCGGGCCGCTAGCAGAAGTTTGGGTCGAGGCTTATGAGTGCGAACTCTGAAGAGGCGTTTCGTTTACAGTCGTTGAGGGCAGAGGCGGTGCTGGAGGGGATAGAGCGCGCAACCGCTCTTTTCCGAGTGCTTCCCTTTCTTTCGCTCTACAAAGCTTCCGTGGAGGTGCCAACGAAGACGATACAACACAAGAGCTCGGCAGATGGAGCTGCCGCTAATGCGTCGGAAGAGCGGGGCGTGCTTCAGTTAGAGCTTTGTGCCTCGCGGCTCAGATTGGAGGGAGCGGTTATGATCCACCGTCGATGAGAATGGAACTTTGTGGGTGAAGCGGTCGCAATGGGAGGTGGGCTTAAGGGCGCGGTAGCGAGCCGCGAGCTTGGCTTGTGGAACGAAACGGGCTTTGAAGGCCGGTTGAAGAACTGCGCGGTTGTGGGTCAAACCCGGATGGCTAGATGACTGTATGAGCGGGCTTTGAGCCAATTTGGGCCTTACTAGCGGGTTAGGAGTCCCTTTGGGCCTGATGAGCGGCTACTTTTTTGAAAATTACTTGCTTCTTTATTCTTGGCGTGGGGCAACAGTAGCCCAAATTTTTTTTTCTCTTTTACTTTCCTGCTTCAATCTTCCTTTCTTCCACAATTTTTTTTTTTGCTTTCGAAACGCAGGCTAAGCCACCGCCATTGGCAGAGTTGATCGATTTGGTGGATGATAGTGGCGCGACCGTCCGAAGGAGCGATAGAGCTTCCGCGCGGATCACGACGACATCGAATCGGGTTGATGACGAGGTTTGCTACAGGCGTGGCGCGAGAAGTAGACTATCAAAGAGCACCGGCACCGCCGCGGAGAAGTTAACGCGCTTGGAAGGACTGGAAGCGCAACACCATGTAGAGAAGCTGCGCGAAGAGATTGGCGGCAACGTTCTCCTTTTCTAACTCTTTCCAGGCTGGCATCAACTTGCA